TTTATACATGCCATTTTTGGTTTGGGTTCTTCTGAGAACTTCGTGTTATTATAGCCTTGTCTTTTTGAGCCACATCATTCCCAATGCCTTGCAGAATTTCCCCTCCCTGTTTCCTTCTTGGTTTTCCTGGAACATCGCACTGTGCTCATAAAGGATCTGGAGTCTCTCAAATTGCAGCAGTTCGTGCTTTGCTGCTTCTGATGTGCGTCCAGCTCACTTCTAATTGCCGAATTGCACAGTTGCCTCTCCTTGGCATCCTTTGGAGCAGCACAGACCTGGATCATAGCAGAGTTAAAAGGCGGTCTTCTTAAGCAAGTCTCGATGATAATTAAGTTGCCTGGGTTGTAAGCCAAGTGGTGCTTTTCTGTCCCTATCACTTAGGATTGTGCCAATTCCTCTTTTATGCTTTATTTTGTCGTGTGAGAAAATGATCCAGCTGCAGGCTGGCTCTCCCTTGCCCGGCCACCTGGCTTTTCAGAGGCCTCCTATGTCATGTCACTACCTTTGTAAGCCATTCATTAGCAAAGATATTGCACCGGGGTGCCAAAGTGGTCTTACATTCCTGGTTCTGTTAGAACTAGAGAGGGAGGTGATTTTTACCCCTTCCACATGCTGATAATAAAATACTACATATAGTTCTGGTTTTCACTTTAAAAAGGTTGCAGGGAAATCTCGCTGGATCAGAAAAGTTACAAAAAGTCATTTGAGGACTGTGGGAAATGTGTTCCGAGGAAATATATAGGGAGCTGAGTTTGCTTAGCATATCAAAAGGAAGATCAAGAAGTGATATGATTATGGTATACGAGTACCTTCACTAGAACAAGATACGGGGTGCTAAAGGCTTTTTTAAGCTAGTAGAGAAAGGCGTAAAAAGAACCTAAGGCCAGATATATTCAAATGAGAAATAAATCAGAAATGTATTTCTAATGGTGTGGGTGATTAGCACATTGAACGCATTTTCAAAGGAAGTGGTGGATTCCCCTTAAATCTTAAAATCTTCCCTTCTGGAAGCTGTACCATGTTTCTGCAGCTACTTATCTGTAATACTTCAACATGTGAGCTTGAGGAGCTTACATGGTTTTTCTTCTTTCTAAATGCATCAAGGCCTGAATATCTATATCCACCTGGTGCCTGACAGTGCAGGCACGTGCAGGGCTGGTACTGGGGAGGACACATCTCCAGTTCTCTGCCTGAATCTGTCAGCTAGGCAGAGCGATTTTTCCAGGGCTCCTAAGAAGAGAATTTGTCATGCTGTCAGAGATGTGCTCTGAAAGGACCAGGTAGCATGCAGGTAGGCTCAGCAGCAGACTAATGCAAAATACTCAAGCTGAGTACTCCCTGAAAGTTAAAATTCCCTGAAATGTTATTTATAGCGGTGCTTGAAAATCTGTCTGTAGAGTTAACAGCTGTTGTTGCTGTAATTCCTTGTACTGATTTTTTTTCAGTAGTGAACCTCTTTCACCAACAGCATGTGAATAGCAATTCCATAAGAAACTGAATGCTCCCCAAATCACTATTATGTTCCTTTTTCTATAAGATTTGGGTCATAGGCAAGCTATGGCCCTCTCAAAATGGCTATTATTTGTCATGGTCTCTAGCTGAGAATGGAAGCCATAGATTTCACCACCACCTGCTTGTTCTGCACCACTTTCGGGTAACGTGCAAGTTTTCCTTCATCCTCAAAGCATCTTTATTCTGCATGGAAATAGTTGTAGGTAGCAGATGTTTAAGGCCATCTCTAAACTGAGTGGAGTCAGGGGCTCCAGCTGTGCTCTGAACTACAGAGGCTTTATGAAGGCAGTCAGCTTCTCCAGCAACATCTACTTTCTGGAAGTTTTGCAGTTACGAAAAAGAGTTGTAATGCATTTTAAGCTATTACATCTATATCGACTTGTCAAAGAGTGGAGTTAAGAAGGCAAAAACAATAAGTGGTCCAACTTTAATTAGAAATATCAGTTCTCTTTTGTAGTGTTTCTTCATCATGTTCTTCGTGTTAGGGCAGAGAGAGGTGAGGAGGCAGTGGAAGGAAGGTGCCTTTCAAAGCAGTGTAGTCATCCTGTTTGCATTTCCCATGCTGTAGAAGTTCAGCTTTTTCTCTGGGAAAGGCAGAATTTTAAGCTGTATTTTATATGTGTATAACTTAAAAAAAATCCCCACTAATATTTATTTTAGGAGATCAAACATACTGTGATGATGGGACAGAAATGTCAACTGCGCAACAGTTGCCATTGCCATGTAATCACATTTGCCAATAACTTTTAAAGTGTGTTTTCTGCTTTAAAAAGCATAAAAGTCAGCATTGCTAAAGCTTCAAAGTTTGAAATCATTCTTCCTTAAAAGAGAGGGGAAATACTGAGTCCATCTCAGCTATGTATGACTTTATGTATAGCATTTTCCATGTCTGTCTTGATGACAAAACAATATCTTAAAATCTAAACGGGGCAATGTCCCTTGAACTTTCCAAAACTAGTTAGTTTCTAAAGTATTTTATGAATTTCAATTTTTATGAGGAAATCTAATCCATAAAATAACTTTGTGGCTTTCTACTGAGGATTGCAGAGATCATCCTGGGATAGGATTAGTGCCTAGGCTTACTAGAAACAGGTTCCCATTGCTTGTTTTGGTCCCATGCAAAGCTCTGGTGAGAGCAAGTGATAAAACTAACCGCAGAACTAGTTGCAGAAGTTCTTCTTTACAGGAAGGCTTGGTGCAAGAGCAAACCAAAAGCCCCAAATCTGCAATTACTATAGGCTGCAAGGCTTAATCTAACCACAAACTAGAGAGCATCTAACACAGCATGAGAGATGTGTTTCCACCGGACATTTTGAAGATAGTGAGACACTTAGTCTAGGTTTCTGTTAAGTGCAGCAGTGACATTTCTTAATGAAATAACCTCAGTTTTTCATCAGATTATTCAAGGGCCGTTTGGATGATGTTTTCTTGTAAAATGAGTAAGGGGTTTGTTAGCAAAAGTTTCCAGATCTCTCCCTATCCTGTAATATGATTTCAGGAAACAAACTAGTGATTGATTGTTCACAAAGATCTATCAAGCAGGATAGAGACCTATTTCTTTTAGATATGGTGCAATTAAGACTTCTTTTTTTTTTTTTTTTTTTGGAGTGACAGGAGTGACAGTAGCTTTGGTTGCAGAAATGCCTTTCTGAGGAGTGTCTGTTTTGAAATAAACTATCAAAGATTAATACTAAGGGCTTCTTTTTTAACCAATTCCACCTTAAATGCTTGGTAACATCATTTATTATGTTAAGGAGAGCTTTACAGGCCCCACTGTAGCCTAAACAAAAAGAACTTAAAGTCTGCATACATATACTGAACTTGTGTGTTGACCATGAGTCTGCATTGACTGCAACACCTTTCATTTCATTTCATTTCTAACTCCTTCCTGTCCAAAGAGTTCACGATGAAACGTAAGCATTAAAGTCAGAAAGCTCCGACAGTTGGACTTTTTCTTTTGTTGTGAAATAGATGTACCTTGCAACTGTATGAGATTTGCAGTAACTTAATTTTGACAGCTACATGACAGACATTAAATGTTTAAAAACAAACAAAAAATCTACAGCAAATCTAATCTGCTTGTGATAGCACAGTACCCGTTTTATGAGGCCACGTTTATTCCCATAATTGGCTATTTCCTGCCCTTAAATGCCTATTTATTCATGCCTGCCACCTTTTTCTCCATTTATTGGCCCTGCGGTCACCACATTATCTTTCTCTTCAAAATCAATTGACATTTTATGAAAAGAGTTTGCTAGATGTTTAGCTTAGTGAGAGTGGCACGCAGAGCACGTGCTTGTCACATTAAATAATTGCTCTTAAAACTAGAGTGTTTGGTGCTTTAACTCTATATAGAATATATTTGCTTTGTTTCAATTTTGTGTTCCTGGGGTAGCTAATTGACAGAATATTAATGGAGGAGGCTATAAGTAGAAGTATTGTAAATAATGTGTTGTATTGTAAAGAGTGTGTTTTCACAGAAATTCTAATACAGTGCAAAGTGGCATTTCGTTTGAAAGAGTTTTTGGATTCCTAGACATGCTCAGAGTTGCAGAGTCTTAGGGAAAATTAAACATACACATAAAATTATTGCAAATTCTAATGTGTGCAGAGTGTAACTACTAACCCAAAGGTGTCTGTGCGTTGATTAAAAATTTATGGTCACCAGTTTGCAAGAAATAATGGTTTCCTTTCTGCCTTTGTCTGTTATTTTTAAAGGTCTTTCAGTACTTGCAGAGATATTTCTGTTGGCCTGCATGCATAGTGTCGTTCTTCGTTATTTAGTATATGGTATAGCAGATGCAGCCAAGGTTATTCAGGGAAGGATCAAGCAGGGTGGATTTTCTTCAGCCTCTCTGTTCCCGTTATTACAAGTAGACCCTGTTCAATACAACATGAAACAACTTGTTATCTAGAGGGGATGGCAGTGTCAAATTTTCGTCTGGACACCTGCATAAAACTTTGACCTGGAGCCATGCACAGCCTGCTACAAGAGAGTTTAGCCTTTTGGGTGGCACTCGAGTCTTGTTTTCCCACGTTCAGTTGGGTTAACTTCATCACAGTGAAGTCAACAATATTGTTTTTGTTTTGTTTTAAGGAAGGCTTTTAATCTTTTAGGGGAACGGTTTCAAAAACACTCTCACTGAAACTTATGTTTTATTTTTACACAAGAAGAATGATTTAAAAGGGCACTTTGCATCTGAATCATGAGCAGCAGGGAGGTGGACCAAACAATAGGTTTTAGCTGTTAAAAATGTGTAGAGTGTGTATGTTTTCTTTAATATTTTTATTGTTTACGTGCAGCATAGTGACTTCTTACTTTAAAAAAGAACAGTGGCAGCAAGAAGAAAAAAAGGTCAAGGAGGAAATTCTGCTGATTTTTTTTCCCTTTCTTTCTGTTTTGATCTTGTAGAATGCAAATAAGCCAGTAGGCTCTTGCTTGATGTTGCGAAGAAAACCCGGTATTGACTCGGAACGTTTGTTTTTAGGTGCCAGGTTGACCTGTCGACCCTCAGCAAAGAGCAGACCCACAAGCTGGAGCTGCCGCTGGAGGAAGGAGAGGGGCTCCTGGTGCTGCTGGTCACCCTGACGGCCTCGGCTGCCGTCAGCATCTCCGACCTCTCAGCCAACTCCTTGGAGGACCAGAGAGAGCGAGAGGAGATACTAAAGAGATATGTATGGCGGTCTTCTCTCTTGCCCTTTGTTTGCCTAATGCCTTGCACAAGTGGTTAACAGGTATCAGAGGGGAAGAAAAATCTAGGCATATCCCCCACCCAGAGACAGCCTTTTAGGCTAGTTATTAATACTTTTGCTGCTGATACGGACAGTGTCAGGAAGTCTGCAAATCCCATTTGTCCTATGAGCTTTTGTGTATATAGTAATTCAGCTATGTTTATGTATATGACCTGAAGAAGTTAATTTTATTGCCTTACAGATGCTTTTTTCTTTTTTTTTTTTTTTAAACCCAAAAAACTAAGGACTAGGACTAAATGACTATGGTTTCACTTAGGGCCTGTACAGTTTCTAGTGAGTATTCTTTTTACCAACTGATTTGCAATGCCAATACTTACTTTTCTATTATAACTTTTTAAAGAGCATAGTAAGGGCAGGAAAGCTTATTTTTACCTGGACATTAGGGGCTGGACATTAGTATTTTGTGTTGTCAAAATGACTGTTTTAAGCAATATTTCCCTTTCAGAATATTCCAAAGCAAATTATTTTGTATTTCCCAGCATCCTCGCATTGCACAGCATCAGTGTAGTTTTATCAAAGCAACAGAGAGGGGAGCTCTTACTCCAGCACTTATTAATACCTCAATCACTAAACGTAACTGACTTGCTGCGCATGAGGCGGGGGGGGTGGGAAGCTATTTCCACTTAAAATTACAAAGCTTTTATTGTACAATGCTGCCAGGTGTTTAGAAAGGCTTCTCTAGACACTCAGCCATTAAACCAGGCTCTGACTAACAAAGAGCCGCTTAATTTTTTTTTTTTCTTTTTTTTTTTTTTTTTTTTAGGTTTTAAAATATTCCTATTCCGTGACTGACATCCTTTCAATAACTGAATTTAATAAAGATGTACCTTATCAGGCTGTGCAGATAACATGGAGTGCTAGTACTAATGCTGTACAATATTCTTCAAGCAGATTAGCAGGATGTGCGCTTCAGCAAATTTATTCTGGCTATCTCCACTGAATCAGCTGTCTGCTAATGCTTGTACAACTCATACACCAATAGTGTTATCATAAACACAGTTTAATAGAGGTGACTTAGTGAGGCTAAACATTATATTTCTAAATCAGCTGAGAGCTAAGGTATTGTGCTCCATGTTTGAAAAATAATTACAATTAAGAGAATTATTTCACGTTTTGGTATCCACCAAGGCAGCCTGTACTTGTCAGAACTGATCTTTATAAATATGATAAATTTCAGGTGGATCAGTTTTTGAAGTGACATACTATTTTTTTTTTTTTTTTTTTCCCCCCTACCAAGAGTAACAATACTCTGTGGATTATTGTGTGTGATGATAGGATAGGAGTCAAGCGATACTGATGGTTTTGATAGTTTAGTAGCAATACAGAACAGTGGTATGGCTCTGTATTATTACTCACATTTCCTATATTCTCTATTTCTTCTTCCTAATAAGAAGCATAATTGTGTGGTATGAGTTTCATCAATTTATTTCACTTTCTTACATATTTATTGCTACATTTTTTTTAGGAGGGAAAAAAACCATAAATGTTTTCAAATGCATGTATTAATACTTCGGAAAATGTTCTTATTGCACAAGCATAAATTTCTCAAGAAATTTCAGTATTACTATGACGTTTGAGCAATTGTGGCACTTTATTAAAATGACCTGTGGCTAGCCCTGTGGATAGCAGCAGCAGAAAGACAACGAAGATCAGCAAAACTCAAAATATTTTCTTTCTTTTTTTTTTTTTTTTTTATTACTGAGCTTGGACTTAGCTTTGGAATTTACATCTTTCCCTGCCTACTGATGCAAAGAAATAATGCACAATTAGCACAATGTGTTATTCCTTCCCAGTGGCTGTATATTGGGGAGRGATAGAGGGTCATCCTCAAACAAAACAAAAATCTTTGCCTCCATTTGAGACAAGTCTTTTGCACCCTTCCTGCAGCCAAAAACAGTTAATGAGCTGACCTTGCCATCAGATCAAATAGCCCTGGAAAATGACTCTATTACTGTCATTTAACCATTTGTAGCTGAACATCAGAGCCTTACAAATTAAGTAGGCATTACTGTTTGAACCATTATTTTACCGCAATTGTCTGCAAAGATTAATTCCTTTTGGGGTGAGGAGGGGGGCGCATTAATGGGTCCGGAGCACGGGAGATTGTGTGACCTTTTCGGAGCGGGTGTGCTGAACCCGCGGTCCCCCTTGTCACAGTTTAAAAACCCGAGGAGCTAGTTTAGAGAAGAAGTTGTTAGCATTCCATTTTTATTATGACATTTCACAGTCATCCGATTTAATGTCCCTTGACCAGATTGTCCACCGTGAGACGATGGGCTTGAAATGTTATTTAGAGCATTGATAAAAGGTGAGCAGTTCTAAGATGACAGCGAGTCATAAGGCTGGTGGTGTGACATTAATTTTCTCCATAACAGAGATGGAATAAGACGTCATGGTGACAAGCTGTCAATCAGCGCTGGCCCCTCGGTGTATCTCCATGCCATAGGATGGGGTATTGCTTCTCCCATAATAGAGCTGAACTGAGATGCTCTCCCTGACAGCTGCTGCTGCAGCCATACAGAAAATATATTATACAGCCTTTCATTAAAAAAATAAAGAGGGCTCATCTCCAGAGCATTTCAATCTTTTCCCATCTATTGAGGGCTGAAAAGATTCCCAGCAAATCACACATTCCTCTGCTATGGAAATTTCAGGCTTCAGAAACCATGCAGGTTTGCAGGCCTTCAACAATAATCATAAGTAAGACGACAGAATATCATCTGGTAAATGGTTGCTTAAAGTTATGTATTTAGAGTGAGGTATTAAAGTCATTTGCTTCTGCCGGAGCCTCTGCAGCAACCTTGTATACTATTTCACTGGTCCTGACTGCCACTGCGTGTGGGAAATGAAGCTAAATCAGCTCACTTGCTGCACCCGAAAGTTCAGAAATAATTGTGCTGGAGTGGGGGGGATAAAGCAGCCAGGTGCAGGGCAGGAATGGTGCCTTCCTGCAGCGAGAGCTGACCGGGAGGAGACGCACGGAAAAGGGCAACGGGGAGCACTGCAGCAAGGAGGCCTCTTTGCTGTGCTTGGTCTGCCTTAGGTTTCCTCTTCATGAGGGGATTAAAAGCGAACTCTCTCTCTCACGGTGCCAGCCCTGATGTGAAGCTTCCAGAACCTGATTGCCGTGATAAATGAGCGCTGGTGCTGCTGCATGTTTGAGTTAAAGAGCTGCAGTTACCTGTACGGCCCCTCTGCCCCGCACGGCCTGTAAGGGCAGGCGGCAGTGGGGGCTGATCCAGGCTGATCCAGTGTGTTGAAAACCCTGTTCCAGATGATAGCCACATTAAAAACGATTAAGCATTATCCTGTGGCGACAGGCATGCTCATAGGTGAGTGTGTGCTGTATGTGAGCGTGGGGCACTACACATAACCTCGGATCCCTGGGTTTAGTTTACCAAGGTCAGACCTTCACTGAAAATAGTAAGCAGTCAGTCGAGGCCTGTGAAATTCATATCAGGGTGTGCCTCGCCTGGTACAATTGTCTCTTTATTAATAACACTAGATGACATCACACGTCCAAAATCTTAATGAGCATGTTATTTATAAATATATCCCATTTTCCAACAACTTAACCTTTAATATTACAGTCAAACAGCACCACTGATTTTTCAGAGCAGCAGACTTGTTCTGATTTTTGTTAATAGTTTTGCTCTTGTAACAAATCTCGGAATTATTGAGCTGGTGTTTTAGGTGGTGGTTGTGTATTCTACAAGTCTGGACTGCACTAAAAGCAGTGGAGAAGTTTTTACCTGCTTTATATTAGAAGAGAGGCAGCTGGCCTTAAATGCATGAGTCCAGATCTCCAGATCTTCAAACACATTAGACGTAAAGGTACATGTTAACATTTGTGAATAAGACTTACAAAAAGAACCAAAAATTAGACCAGATATATGTATGTTTTAATATGTATTTGGAACTCTAATTTTAGTTTTTTTTTTTTTTTTTGAGTTCCTGCCCTAGTTTATCTTAAAACTAAATGATAGTGTCAGATTTGCTATTAATTGATGGTGGATTCGAAATTACATTAGATGTATTAGGATTTTAAGTTCTGCATCCCCTAAAAAATATTTAAGATTTTAGCTTAGAACGTTTGGCACATCAATCCTAACTGGTGTCATACCCTTGGTCAGTTGTAGTTATTTGAGAAAATCATCATCAGCAGCAGCAGAATGCTATTTCCAAGCTACTTTCTAAAACTGCATAAAGTGAATAAATGCAAGTTATTTTACTCTTTATATATATTTACTTTTTAAAAAAATATATTTTTAAAGAGCTATAACAGAAATTGATCAACGAGAAAAAGAAATCCTTGAAAGATTTTTGTTCTGTACTTGGAGGCATCTTTTAGTTTATTTTCAATTTTTTTCACATGGAATTGTTATGAAAATTAGTAATTTTTTTAGATTCCTCTTTTGATTATTTTTGTCCTTATTGATAGATGTATGGTTCATGTTAATATGCTTGCACGTCTTGATCAACTGTTAAAACATCAGCAAAAGAGAACAGAGGCCCTAAATCCTTATTCAGGAACGATCCTGAGGAAACCATGAGGAATATGCATTTTACAAAAGTATTCAGAGGAAATAACGTGATTGTTCGTATTAATGTAACCATTCTTAATAAGCTGACAGCATTTAAAACTGTGATATTCAGTTGCGCAGATAGGTGCTGTTAGAGGTTTAGCATTAAATGCTGAGATTAGCATTATATTTAGTCATTTGTACTACGCTTCTTCCCTTCCTGCATAAGTGGAAGTTGCAAGAAGCTATCAATATTGCTTTTCTATTTTTCTTTTTTTCCCCTTGTTTAATCTAAAATGATTCTCCTTATTGTTATTTAGAGTCCATTGAGAATCTTCCATAACCTGAAGGATGTGGGGTTCCTGCAGGTGAAGGTCATCCGAGCTGAAGCCTTGATGGCAGCTGATGTCACAGGCAAGGACTCGTTTTGTTCCTGGGACAGCAAATGCTACGGGAAAAGACTGAGCTTTATTTATTTTTTATTTTTTTTCAAGTGGAGGAAGGTATCTAAAGCAGCAGTTTAGCTGAATATCCCTGTCTATTTGCACAGTCTCCTCACCTGCTCATTAGGGAAAAACTCCTCAGACAAATAAACTGACCTTTATAAGCAAGGGAGCAAGTCACCCCAGTGCTAACAGAGCCTTTCAGAGGTTATGCGAGAAAAAGGGGAAACGGTCCTTTTTCTCCATCAGATGTCCTGCTGCAAAAGCACTGCATGAGATAGATTCTCAAGGTGGCTTTTTGAGGTAGGTGCAACATACAAAATTATCCAAATTAAAGCTGAATTTCAGAGGACACGGCAAGGAAAGATGATAGGCTGAGATATCACTTTAAAGTTGTTGCCAGAATATCCTTTTGGAACTTGCCAAGTACTTTGCAAGGCTGCTTTGAGTTTCAAATATTTCCAGTGAATGCTTTTTTATGTTTCAGAAGGGAAATAACACTTAAAAAATATTCTCCATTTTAAATTATATAAGGTAAGTGGACTAGTCTACCTTTCTGCTTTTTAAAATATATAAAATATTTTAGCCATAGCCGTACTGACCATTTTTCTTCAGAAATATCCAAGTTATCTTCTGAGAGCAAATAGATATCCCTGCTGTGGTTGAAAAGAAATAAAAATCTCATTTAAATTATTTCAACTGTTTTAACTGTGGTTTGGACATAAAAGTTCTGCTACCAGAGCAGATGTAAATTTGTAGCAAGTTGCTCACTTTTTAATGGTTTTCTATAAACGAGAGTAAATATTAGGGAACATTTTTTGGCGTTTTGTTTTTCTTAGAAAATAGAGCAAATATTTTATTTTTGAAACTGAACATTCAAGTTTGTGGCACACAGAATAGAGAATTCTGTTTTTGGTGGAGGTTGCAGAAATGCTGCTAAAGATTCCTCACTCTGCTTTGACCTTATAATCCAATGTGGTCTGAACAGAGAGAGAGATTAAGTTATTCAGGGGCAAATGGGATAATTCAGTCCCTGACCTCGTTCGGTCTTCGACTTTTCCCGCTCGACATGTCATTTGTGCTGGTTGAACAAATTTTTTTTGGAAATACGTTTGATTCAATTAAAGATGTACAGAGCTACCAAATTTTTCAGATGCTGCATTTAGAATGACGCTCAATAAGACTGGAAAGAGCACCGTGAACCTTCCCCCATCCTAACTATTTTTTTCTTTAGTAAGAAAATGCATTTAAACAGTCCAAGTGCTTTTTAAAGAGGCTTCTATGCATTTCAGATATTAGAGAAATCATTTTATAGCTTGGATGATAAAATTTGGTATTTCAAAGAGAACAAAGGGTTTTTATAAACTCCTGTAGTAATTTATAGCTATTTTTAGTAACCTATATGTATAATTCATCTTCAGATTTAAAAGTTGAATTGTAGTATTTAGAAATTAGTTATAATAAAGTGGTTATTTAGTGATGGTTGATTTATAATCCTGCCAATAAAGCACGGTTCTGAAGATTATAGAAATCTTTATCCTCTGCTTTTATTCAAGGGAGTAATACTTATTAGTATGAGCAGGGAGCACTGTCATCAGTGATGTAACTTAAATGATTAGGAATTGCTTATGCAAGTAAAATTTAAGGACCAGCTTGCTCTTCTCAACATAGCAGTTTCTTTAGAGTTAATCTTTTGCCCTCCCCTGAGTGAGAAATGCAGCTGAGACACCTGGATAGGGCCTGTGTCATGTGCTCCGCTTCCTGTCTGTTGAACATATCCCCTTTCCCTTTCAGGCATTTTTCTTTTTTTTTTGTAAGAAGTAATAAATCAAAATTTATTAGTTTGGGCTGAGTGGATTTTTAAAATCCATAATATTCCATCATTAAGCATAAGCATAGGCGGCAAAAGATTTCTGTAATCTTTTAAGTAGTCATCAATCTTACTACAGTTGCAAAGATTTTTTTCCCCCTTTTCAAAATGTACAATTTTTCTTTTGTTACCATACATTCATTGGGAAGCATTGTAATACTGTATTAGCTCTCTGTGAATAAAGAGCAATTGAGAGTCCCATTGAATGAATGCGTAAAAAGCACAAATTAGTTTTTAATGAAACCCTTAATTCTTCTCCTTTCCCCAGAAAGCCCGTAGCCTTGTTCAACTGAATACTACTGCAGTCGGTCACTTCAGTTAAGCCCTTAATAAACTGTTGATAGTTGAGGGTAGTTTTTTCTGACGGCTCAATAGCTCAGGGTTGGACAGTGCTCTTCAAACCATTAGAGTTAGTACAGGTTTTTAAAAAATAACTAAAGAAATAGGGAGAGATTAACAGTGATGGTTAAGGCCTAGGTTTACACCTCACACGCGTGCCTGTGCCTTGAACAAGATGCTAGGGTGGACTGAGGTTTTGGAGAGGTTTGGGAAAGGTTTGCACAGCCTGAGAAAGTGTGAAAGTCATGAAAACTGGATGCTGCCAAAATGTGCTACTGATCTGGGCTTTAGAACCTATTTGGGGAGGAAAAGAAAAATACAGTTCTCTTCTTTCAGTCTCCTTATGCTTGCAGAAGGGTTGAATCTGTTGAAGGACTGAGAGGTTTTCCAGCAGGAACTTGGGATCCAGCTGGGTTTTGGGGAGACCTTGAAAAAACAGGGGTCTTTCAGACCCCGGACCTCTAAGAAAAAGTGTCTCTGTTTATAGGGATGATTCCCCAAAAATTACATCTCTCAAACAGTCGTAGGATTCTTTCAATCAGAAATAATTTTAAGGTTTTCACTAGCGCAAAATCATATCTTTCTGCAGGTAGTGATCACAGTAAAAGTCATTTCCTGGAGAAAAATATGTGTTGTTTTTTCTAGTCGAAATTATAATCTAAGAAATAGAAGGAAGGATGGAATGGGATGAATGCTGAGCATGCGGTTTACTTTTTCTTCTTTTCCTGAGAAGAAAGTTTCATTTATGACTTTTGTTGTGTTCTAATTATTCAGTGCAGTGCTCTTTTCCCCATAAAGCTGTAGTTAAAGGGAGTTTCATTCTTACTTGTCTCTATTTCTCCTCCACTGGCTTGTAGTTCTCCCAGAAGACACGTTGCCCTCCTGAAGGACTCGAGCTGCTTTTAGGGCACTGTTATTGAAGCACATATGTCTACAAAGAAACTCTTAAATGAAGAAATATTCTAATATTATTAATAATAGAGAATAGTAAATATTCTAATAGTGAGTAGAATGTGAGCAATAGTGGATTTATCATGTCAGTTGACCTCTCAAATTAATACATATTCTGTTTACCTCCCCCATGTGAGTTTTGGCGAGCAGTAGCCCTTTCCCAAATGGAGAAGTGCTAGTGAAAGCAATAGTCAGATAATATGTAATTTTTGCAGCAGAGTTGCCTGTAAGGAGGTAGGGCATGGTAGGAATATGTATTTTAACAGATGACGATTGTGTCCCCTTTATTACCATGGGCATATTCATCCTCTCCAAAACAGAAGAATAATAATTAAAAAAAAAAAAAAAAAAGCCTGCCTTATTGCTGAGGGCAGGTTATTGAAGGGGGGCAAGCGCAGCGGGCAGAGATCCGCTGCGGCTTTTACCAGCTCCAGTGCAAGTGCCGTGATTCCGAAGAATAACGGCAACGCGGGCTCATTAGCGGAGCAGAAGCGGCGCACCGCGCGCCAGCCCGCCTAGCAAACAGTTTGTTTTGCTGTCTTTGGGCTTTAATTAAGACGTGCTCGGTGGCGGTGCCGCCGCTCTCGGCGCTGCCCCCCAGGCAGGCCGCACGGCACCGCGCGGCGCGGCGCAGCGCGGCCATCAGCCGCTTTCAGATGGTCCGGCCCATGACTTTGACCTTCGGCGCGGTCCGGCGTTCCCTGGGGAACGGCTGCGCTCATGAGCTCTGATTTCACACTTGCAGGATGCCGCGGCTCTCCGAACAATGACGGGGAGACAAAGCCCTTTAGAGCGGCCCGCATGGGGACTTGTTTAAATTGGAAACTAGAGAGGAGTCAAGGAACAAGGTTACGGGCTGCAGAATGGTGCTTTTAATAAAGAGCTCACAGCTCCGGCTCGCCTCAAAGAGGGGCTACCTCGGTACAATTAATTGAGACATTTATCTGGAGCATCTCAGGCCTCTACTTTCTCACAGAGTTATGTGATAAATATCAGCCGAGAGGCAAATGAGAGCTGCATGAAACGCATTTTTAACACTTTGATTACTGTGTCTCCAGTCAACATTGGAAGCGGGTTTATTTGTATTCCTGGCTTCATTATTCATCAGTTCTCTGTGTTTCTAGGGGGACTGAGATTTCAGAGGCGGATACATGAGGCAGATTTTCTTACGGGGCTCAGTGATATGTAGATTAACAGTCAAAAGCATTTCAGATTTCATCCTGTTTCCCCCTCTTAAGAACAGAAGCTAAATATAGAAAATGAGAGAGATGGTAGGGATTCTTTTTTTTCCTTTCCTTTCTTTTTCTTTTTCTTTCTTTTTTTTTTTTTTTTTTTGGCCTTTTTAAGTTTTAGGTGCCCAATTCAGCCTCTATTCTAAGGAAATTCCATGTTAAAATTTTGATTTAAGTGGTTGAAAGTAGGATGAAGACAGCAAGATGACTAAGCCTGCAGAGTTTATGCTATTTAAAAAAAAAATCTGTTCTCCTAAGATATCCTAATACCACATTTGCAAAAATAGTCTGTGAAATTGTTCCTCAAATGTTACATATGTCAGTGATACACACAAATGTTAAATATGAAAAGTTATAGAAGCCCATGCATGTAAAGTTTGAGCGATAAATTTAGAGACCTTTTGACATATGGCTCTGGTTTGTGCTGTTAACCAGATTTCGATATACAGTTGACTTATCTTGGTAAAATAACCAAATCTACTACCAAATCTACTACCAAATGCAGTGGGTGCACTGTATTTTATAGTGGATAAAACCTTACTTGAGCCTGTCAGTATAGGTACTAGAAGACATTAGTCT